GCTTTTTAACTGCAATTAAAGGACGTAAAAGAAAAAATAACTCCCTTACCCTTAATTTCCTCCAGATAGATACCTGCTTCCCTGCCAGTTCATACCTGAAGAGACAGTACATTTTCATTTCACACTCTGGAAAAAATGAAGATGAAATCCCCTATTCCTAATCTATGCAAGAGGGAAGAATAAAACCAAACAAACAAAAAAACCACCTGAAGACCTGTCATAGTATTATCCCTCACAATCCATTTCCAAACCATAAACATTTGTATGCCCTTTCAAGCTATGGGAGTCACTGAATTCATATAAATCCCTTGGAGGTTCAGTCAAAGCACCGTTCATGACTGAAGACTGAAGGATTCCATATCCAAAGGCTGAATCTCCTGTATTGCTGAGAAAAAAATACATGTGTTGAAAAGTAAGTCAAAACGTAAGATGCATGATGACCCACATGTGAGACAGTCACAAACTCTGCAAGCCAAAATTGCAACTGGCAACGTTAGTGAGGTCCTTGGCAACCATCTTGCAGCTCTGAAGGACATCTCACTTTATGAGCCCTTAAATCAAAACACTGACTAATAAGACAGGGTTTTCTACAGATTCGTCTTGCAATTTCTGAGATGAGCTTTAGCTGACATACATTAGGACATACCCAGTCACCAAGCTTTTTTTGTGTATGGATTTTCCCCTATTTAACAAGCAGTCCATCTTATGTCTCAGTCTTTATCTGCTCTATGATTTATCTCAAAAATATACCTGTTATTCACAAACAGCAGCTCTCTGAAATATACCTTTACTGTGGACCTGCTCCAGAGAAAGCCAGTTCCCTCGAGATCTTTCATTCCCTACAGAGCAGCAACACATTGAAGTGAAGGGAAGTCAAATGGCAAGGCCCTAACTGCCTCATGTGAGCTTAGACTTCTTCAGAAGCCACTGCTGGAGTGCAGCATTGGCATTTTGGCGTGTCTATCAGCTAACCAAAACAGCCACTTACAACTGAAAGCACATTCATTAATGCTACATGCCATTAGATTTCCACACTTTTCTTTAAAAGAGATCTGGTATTAATATTGGATGTATGGATCCCCTAAAAATATACAATCCATACTCGACAATTTTTATTTTTAGTCTTCATTTTCATTTTGCATTGCTTTTTATGAATGCACAAGTACACTTGGGACTCTCAGAAATCAGCACAGAGTTGTACTTACTCACCTGCCCTGCTGTGTGGGAAACTTGCTCTTTGACACTGGCACTTTCATAGTTTGTCAAGGCCCACTGACCACCACCGGACACCCTACACGCACTTGACCTCGCAGGGGCACCCTGACACACTGCTATTCTGTCTGCTGGTCACGCTGTACAAACTGGTAATTCACTGCCATCTCCTGGCAAACTACTATTCAGGAGTATCTGTACAGACTGAAATGAACTACCTAGTCACCCTTAAACTGACAAGAACACTTAATTGTGGTGGCAAGACAAGCATGCAGAAGTCCTGCAAGGACCCCACAGACTCTCCATCCCTTTCCTTCCCTCCCAAAATTGACCAACATTTCTACAGAACTTCAGGCTTGCTCCTGGACAGTTTTCAATTTACACAGGAACCTGGTGAGAGCAGCAGCTCACAAGAGGGATATTACATCCACAGAAGGAATGGTACCCAACCAGCATCCAATCTTAAAGCTTTTCCATTAGGGAAAAAATAACAGAAGACTTAAAAACCTGAAACTGGAGGTGTCTAAACAACAGTTGCTGCAAGTGTTTTTACTCATTTGCCTATAGCAAAACAGTGTTTTCTGTCGCTTCAGGGGAAGCCAGGACCTGAAAAACTCACATGAACACTTATACCAAATCTGATGTGCTTTCTCCAAAAGGAAATTCAATATTCTCCAAACCACTTCCAGAGAAACAAAGGGACTGAAAAAAATTCTAAGCAAAACTGCCTCAATGATGTAGGATGACTGTGAATACATATAAATTTGCCTAGGCTGGTTTAATTTAGGCAGAGAGAATGAAACTGAGTAAGGGACTACTGATTAAATTACCTTATAAAATGAAGCTGGTAGCCATGCAAGTGGCATTTAATCATTGCTGTAAAGCCATCTTGACACCATTAGCGTTTTGCAACTTGAAACTAGGTCAGTTCATATGATCAAAACGAATACTGAGTCTCCACCATTCTTTTGCCCTGGGACTGCCAATTTAGGCTGATATAAGAAACCTTTTCACTCTTACCAAATACAGTGCTACTTTTTAAACAATTCCATTTACACAGCTATGAATAATTGTTCTAGATCCAAGTCCAACTTTTATTTTTATTCCTGCCTGAAAAATTTATACCAAACACTCAGTTTCGAAATCCACCACAAATTCTGAAGTTTCTGAAGGATTTTTGATTTCTCCATAGCTTTAAGCAATACAGGAACATTAGTGCAGTTACTAAGAAGTCAAAACTTAACAGTGACACAGACATTATTTACTTCCCTCGCCTTCTCAAGCCACTGTAACAGACTTAAGAAAGGTGCTGTACAGATGAAAAACTATTCCAGTGTCATCATTACAGAACAACTGGATCAATCAATGCCAGTAACAGCTATCACTTGACCGTAATGTTAAGACTTCCTAGGCTGATTTGTCTTGCAGACCTGACAAAAGGACCCCTATTTCTAAATTTCTTCAAAGCATTAAGGGACCACATTACCAAGGGGAAACACCCTTTATCGTCACTGCCATTTCTCTTCATCTCGCACTTTGAAGGCATTAGCTTTCTTCAAACATTTTAAAGCCTCAGTAATTTTGCCATTTCTGTTAACTATTTGCTACTTCTGCTTTTTATGTTCTGTGGAATTAGCAGAGGGAAAGGATCTCTGCCTGTCTGTAAAACAGTATTACTGCTGACAAGCTATGTTGTTAGAATTTATTTAGTATTTGGCTTTGTTGATTAACAATTTGCGATCACTGGGGGTGGGGCAGGGGGAAGTGTCAAATTGCACCACCTTAATTCAACAGTGAACCTCTTCAAAAAGAAGGTAACTAGAATAAAGTGCATGTTCAGCTGAGGTCCTGGCAGTGGAAGGAGTTCTCAGTTCTGTTTCACTAAGAATTTATTCACTTAGCATTTCAAACCTGTACCCGGGCTCCTCCAAAACCCTTTTCAAGTAAAAGAATCTCCAGAAGTAATGGTTTGTTAAGTTCAGTTTGTCCTGTATTTAAAGCTGGACCTACTGCTATTGGCAGACTACAAATAGACACAGCTGGAAAATTCTATAGTCAGTTCTACCTTTCAGAAAATTGTCCGAGTCCAAAAGGTAACAGCTACAGAATTTGTCTCCTCCTATTTCGACAGCAGAACCAGATAAGTCAATGTGAAATGTAAGATCAAATGAGCAGTAGAAGGGGCATGATGAATAAGCACTTAAATCTTTGGCCAGCTTTAAAACCACTGGCTGCATTTCCCCCAGCTCTCAGACTCTCCTCTCCTTACCTGAACTTGCTCACAAATTGGTGGTGTAATGCGGGAACTTGTTGACAGTAGGGTGGCAATGGTGGTTTCAAAGTCAACTCTCTTGCTATTCTCAAGGTCTGTAATTTCTTCAGTGAAAATCCGTAAGGGAAACTCTGGAATCAACTAAGCATAATGTTTTAAGAACAAGATGTGCCAGTTATACTTCAAAAGCTTAAATAACTTACAGAAGCTGCTCAATGCAAGTATTTATTCATACCCAATATGTAATTACCTAGTTACAAAGCAAAATCTTTCATGCTACTTACACTCAGGAGTGTACTGAATGCTACTGATCTGAGGCCTAGATGAAAGTTTTCAGATCTTTCTCCTTAATCAGATGCAATATAACTAGGGACAATACAAGTTTCAATTCACAGTTAATCCTCAAATCAATATTTAACATAAATAATTTAGTCTCAAATGTATGTTCAAGGATGAAGTACTGACATCATCAAGGAAGCTCTTTACCTTTGAGTTCAGTAAAATGGGTACCACTTTATGACACAGGAAAGCAAACTTCTGCGCAAGCCTAACACCATCATATATATCATTTAAGAAAAAAAATGTAAGGTCCATTAGAACTAGACTGAACTGATTTTATTTCCTTCCAAAAAGAATAGACACTAATTTAACTGTATACAGAATTTAATTTAACTATAACTATACAAGTTTCAGCATATTGTCCTGCTCAAGAACTCCTTATATTAAAAAAATACTGCCAAAATTCTAATGCATACTTTACAATTAAATGTCCCATCTTTCTCTCTACCCCTAATAATCTCAGACTAGAGCTGCAGTGTTCAGATTAATGTATGTTCGGATGAAAATTCCCTTGGTCTTAAGCATAGTTTCATTATTACCCATGTTTTTTCCACTACCACCAAAACTGGACTCAAAAGTAAGTTTCATAGTATTAGCCATGAAAAATTTTATGAACTTTGTAAGAACAGAATTCAGAAAAATATTAACAACAGTTTTTACTATAATAAAATATGTCACATCCATCCCTCTAAAAAATAATACTTATGCATTTCTGTGCATATTTTTATGTTTATTAATCTGTCACATTTTACTATAGTATCTGCAAATTTTTTACTTTGAACACTTGAACAAATGAGTAGTAACCACTTTTAGTTAGACCATCAAAACTCCATCAAGTTCTCCGAGAACCCCGAGTTCCTGTTTTGAAGTAAAAGTTGTCCAATGAGGTTCCAAGTATTTTCATCATTATACTCAGCCAAGCAAGTTAGACAAAAGAAAAAGACAATTTTCTTTTTTTCTGGTGTGACTACTCAAACCCTACCGTTCCCCCACTTTCTATTGTTATTGCATTTAAACCTCCCAAGATTCCTTACCTTGACTAAACACTGGTGCCCATTTAGCTATTTACTGTATTGTTTCACCTAGTTACTGTCCAGGCACACTGAAAACTCTTGCCAAGTCTCCAAATCCAACATTCCAGTTAATGGAAGTCTAGGTCACTCAAAAACAGAATTACAGTCACCAATTCTGTGACTCTAATTAGGTATACCACCTGTTGTGGCATTATGTAACGTCATCACAAATCATTGTAATTGAATGCAAAGTAAAGGAAACTTGAGTTTATTTAGCTTCCAATTTCTGGGAGGTCAAGAGGAACTAGGACTGCTCTGGACAACAAAAGAAAACAGACTGTGCTTACAGATCATTTTCTGCCATATTCTTTCTTTAGGACCACTATTTTATTGTTGCCCTTTCTATTACATGGGATGTACATATTATCAGGTGTTAATAAAAGGTCAGTGCCTGTACAATACATTCTACAACTGAGCACCACTTTCCGTAACTGAACAGGCGAAGAAATTACACTGAACATCAGCATCTGGCAGTATTTCTCCAAAAAAAGTGACTAAAATGGGTTTAAATTGATTAACACTATTAAATCACATCTAATATTTGATACTACATGATTTCATTACAGCTATACGATACAATTATACAAAATGTGTTAACATCAAAGAATACAACCAAAATTAAGATAGCAAACAAAACCTATATAACTTTTTTTCTTTACAGGAAAATACTTTTGAAGTATGCATGTAACTGCCCATTCTTTTAAAGAAAATCTACCGCAAGCAAGTTATCAACCTCCAGAAAAATCACACATAGCATTACTACGCATATCCCCAAAAAGTGTACAATATGCACACTTGGAAAATACAAAATTAAAAAAATTGTAAGCAACAGGTGAGCTTCATATTTATAAGAATGTGAAAAGAAGTCCAATTTTAGCACTGTTGTATAAAGAATTGTCTTTTTTGATGCAAGTTCATGAACTGACCCCTCCGGTTGGGGCCACACTTTACAAAACACCGTGTTCTTGAAACGGGATTACAGAGCAAGGTAGAGCATCTTAGCAACGTCACCTTAAAGTTTTTTTTGTGGTTTTTTTTTGCTTTTTATTTACTACTTATCAAAACACGTCCTTTAGGTTTGTAGGGTTCTTTTTTTAAAATTCTTTCCTAGAAACAATATACAAAGGGGAGGCATATTTATTTCCAATTCATACTCCTGTAAGATGCTTTGAGTTCAAGAACTTTCTCCTCCAACTTTCACTGGTTGTTTTTGGCCTTAGCGTGTGTTAAGATGTGAGATTTCAGGTTAGTTGATTGCGCAAACTTCTTATTGCAGCCGTCAAATGGGCAAACATAGGGCCTGTCGCCAGTATGAATTCGCACATGTGTGCGTAAATTGAAGTCCAGTGAAAAACGCTTTCCACATCCTTCAAACGTACACTGTTGAAAGGAAAAGACACACTCCATTAGCTAACAAAATAGTACTCATTAGAACAGTATTCTTGAGATCACTAGAGTGCACAAACATGAAGCTAGATGCTGAAGATTATTATAGGTGAACCTGTGGGCATCACTTGTAAATGCCATTAAAAAAAATTAATACTTCAGGTTGTTTTACCATGGTACTGCACCTATTTTCAAAGAGGGAAATAACTTCCAGCTTGCAAGCGCGTTCACTAAAAACACCTTCTATGGATCTGAAACAGTATTTTGTTTATGCTGCACTAGAAAAACAGAAACAATGTTTCATGTCAGAAGTTCCCCCTTTCAGTGATAATTTGCTAAGATTTGCTCATTTTACCAGCTTTGCTTTTAAGATGGGCTCAGAATACAAAGGGCAGCATGTTTAGCAGTAAATACTTATCATTTAACACACAGCAGATCCAGCATACGCATCTAAGTGAACGCCTGAGGACTGCAAATCAAGTTTCTGAATTAATTTATTATTAAAAAAAAGCAACAAAAATTATGATCTTAAACATGTACTGGAGAAAACAGATATGCTCAAGACTATGAATACCTGTAAAGAAGATTTATAAGGAGTATCATAGGAAGTAGGCAGGGGACATCTGGTGGCAGAAGCTCGCATGACTTGATATCAACGGAAAGAGATTCAGTGACTACCATAATTTTGCTGAAAACTGATTAATACTTGCTACTGAAAATTAGTATCATGAGTCAACTGAGCAAACAGCCCCGAGTCTCAGTTGTTTACAAGTGCCAAGTTGAAAACATGATGAGGAGAAAGAGACATCTTCCTCATTCAGTAGTAACTGCAGACTTCATTTTTAAAGTGGGTAACTTTATATTTTGGAAGGTATCTCCCATGTACATACAAGTTGCTAATGTCTAACAAAAGCCCACACAAATAGTTCAACGATAGCCCAATTAGCTTAAGGGGACTTTCAGTTTTTAAGGTGATCATTCAGTGCCTCATCTGATTTTAGAAAAAACATAGTATCCCTGAAGTCATATATACGGAAGCTAGGTTACAGTCACAGTCTATAGGTTTGCCAAATAAATCGTGGTACTTATGTCTGGAGGTTAACAATACCTGAAAGGGTTTCTCTCCGGTATGAACTAGCTGATGTCGCTTTAGTTTTGAGCTCTCCACAAAGGCCTTGCCACATTCTGCACATACGTGTACTCGAGGGCCATGAGTGTGCAGATGCTTCCTCATGGCAGAGTTGTCCCTGAACATCTTTGTGCAGCCCTTTAAAAGAACAGTGAAACTCAATTAGTAGATAAGCTAGTTCTGATAAAGAACATTTTATCTGCTACAGTACAAGCATTTAAAATGCTTTTATGTCCTGAATACTTTCTTAAAAGTTGGCCCTGAGAAGGGGAACTCTTACATTTACTTAAAAAAACAATACAAAGAAAACTAAAAATTTGAAAAGCTGACCAAAAAACCCCCAATCCCAAACAAAAAACCCTCTCCTCAGTATTATGAACCATGTGCAGTCAAATGAATAACAGGACAGTCTCACGGAGGAGATGCAGCTCTGATAGAAGCAAATGAATAAACCAAACAAAGGCACTTACAGTTTCAGGGCAACAAAAAAACCAAAAGAATGATAGTTCATGGATAGCTATGGTATATTCTTCAGTGTGCTATATTCTGAGCACTACAGTACTACAATATACGATATAGTCTCTACTATACCACAGATTATTCTCTGGTACCAATTTGTATGTGCACCACTCTACCTCCCAACATTGTTCTCTTCCTTCTCTGTCCTTCTCATTCCTGAGAAGAAATGGAGCAAGAAAGTTTCTAGCACATAACAGCTTACAGAAACTAATTTGTCCAAACTGGCAGCAGCAGGTTGATCACTAACACCTTGAGATATAAAGATATTGTGACTGCTTCTACAGTTTAAACCTACAAAGTGATTAAGGTAGGAGAATCTCTGAATTAGTGCCAACTCAACCTAAAAGCAGAAGATACTCACAGTAACTCAGGTACAGCATCAGAAGTCTTAATCTGAGATCCATGCTGCATTGACACAGGAATACTATTTTTGATTCCAGAGTACACTTAAGCCAGCAGTGACCTGAAGCTCTCTCTACCTAATCCTTCTCTACCTTTTTTTTCCCCACCTTTTAGTGACATCAATAGACATATATCATGTATGTTTTATAAATGTCTTCCTCAAGGTTCAAAATCCCTCACAAAATCCTATTAACAACTGTAAATTCTACCTGTACCCCAAGTGATGCTGTTTAATTTTAATTTTACATAAAACTATCTACCAACATCACTGTGTTATGAGGCATAAAATTTGACAACAGAACCTAAAGGAACATTCAGTTGCTCATCTTAAATTCCAGAGGCTTCCTCTTTGGAAATTACTTTTTTCCAAAACTAATAACCACACTTAAATATGCCTTATTTCTTAAAAAAGGGAGAAATGTCGCTTTCAGGAAGAGTTCACTCTTCAGGCACTAGATTTTTTTTGGCTAATTTAGGAAGTTTTGTGCCACCATTCACTGCACATAACAAAACTGGTCAGGGCAAAGCAGCACCAAAATAAACATACCATTAACTTTTTTTGCATTTATTTCAAAGTCCCTGCTTGCCTCTGAGAGGAGCAGTTATACCTTCTACAACGTTTTTCTTTTTTCAACTGAAGTCATAAATGCACAAAGCCTAGACACACTAGAAAAGAGAAAATGGAAGGACAGAATATTCTTCCCTCCCCCCTTACTTCAAGTGAAGTTGAGGCTATGAAAAAGTAAATCAAAGAAATGAAGGCAGCATTCCTCGATATTGTAAGGAGTAACTGTTGCTGTATCTCTACATACTATACTAAAATAAGAACATGACATGTGAAGACTTGGAAATCAATATAAGCACAAAGAGGAATCCAGCAAACTCCTTAGACTATGTCTGTCAGAAATAAGCCTTCTATTCATGCTCCCTAATGTGTACTATTAGCTATCTGCCCTGATTATTTGCTTAGGCTCACACTTATCTAGACCAGAAGTCAGCAAGATTGTTTTTGTCTTTTTTCATTACAGACTCAGTTAACAGAAGCTCTACAAAAGCTGGATAATGCAGTAAAGCTAGATGCTACCAATCTAGGTGACTGGCAACACTTATTCAAGACAGAGGCTTCCCCACTACCAGTGGATTAGAATCATATCTCCAGGATGCCTCTCTCTCTTCCAAGATGATGCACCTTCCAGCTCTGTGAAATGTTAACTCAAAATCTTCCAATAATGCTGACTTTGGTGTCTGCATCATACATTGCTGATTCCTGATCTAGACTCCAAATCTGTCAGTTTCCAAGCAGAGGATATATAGATCTTAGGAACGTACTTTGAACAGCTTTCAGAACATTCTTTCAAGTATGTATTCTTGGGTGGCAGGAAATCACAACAGTAAAACCAGCATGTTAGGGACTGTGCATCATGGTTACCAGAAGATTAGGGATGCACTAACCTTAAGACAAGGAATGGGAATAATATATTATTCAGGGAAAGGTTTTTAAGGAAGCCTCTAAAGAACGATAACTAAAATACAGTTAACTGAGTGTAGTCTATTAACAGTAAGATATTTTAGTTATTCATTCTCAAGAGAAAACATCAATACAAAATTCTGGTCTACAAATTACTACCAACTCAGAAGCTGAGCACTTCACTTACTTTGTGAGGACAAGCTATCGTTCGTGGAGCATCATCTTCTTTAATTTTTCTTGGTTTCATTCTTTAAGATAAAAAAAACCCCACACAAATTAGTACAAAAAACATTAGTAGACAGCTCTTCTCCTTCAACTGCCTACATAACGCGCACATTTATTCGATAGTATTACATGCATCAGTAGTCAGTAGTATCCAGTTTAATACTTTCAAAACCTTCATAATAATTACAGTATAATTTGGCATTTGGAAAGTTCAGCTTTTACAACATCACCTCTCAACATCACCTTAAATACTACCTTCCTAGTCCTTTGACGATGTGGAAATAGAGGTTTTTTTCTGACATACTAATCGTAAGTAGGAGGTTTTGTTTGAAAACTCAGTTTTCGTTGTGCCAGTATCCATGCGGCCTATGTATCTTCACTTCCTTTCCATCCCTGCACTGGGACATGAAGGACAGAGTAGCCCAAATCATTCTCCAGTATTTTCACCACACAAGACTTCAGAAGAAAACTCTACAGAAGCAAGGAAGGCAGACAAGATGTGGAAGCTACATAGACAGTTGTAGACATCTGTTATAACCACAGAAATGGCAATTATTCTTACTTTAAGCTACTGCGCACATGGATTCCAACTTGGCAACTGATAAGCAATCATCTATTTACTCTTGGCTGCTGATAGGGATCTTCACCACTACTTAATGGGCACCATTAGTCTCCAGCGACTACACAAGGAGGCCAGCAAACTACTGCTTGCATGTGTTAGGTGTTTCAAATACAGTAATACTTCCTGTAGAAAACAGTTACAAGAGTCCTGCCATAACAACCACCTGTCTGAACATCAGCGAAGAGTCAGCTGTGGACACTATTCCAGGGAAGTGCACTGCCCTTTTACCTGTCTTTATTTCTCAATCCTGTAGTGCTGTCTTCAAAAAAAGATCAAAAAGAAATGGTTTATCTCTACCTTATGGTGGAAGAAGGCAGGTGTAAATAAATGCATCTCATACAGCTGAAGATTCACTTAGATAAGTAATGAGATTTTGCACATTCCAAAACCTTGCTGTAGAAGGGGAGCTAGTCTGTTTATGTGAGTTCCTGAATGACTTTTCCTAGCAATACAGTACAAGATAGTCCTGTATGACAAGGTAGCTACATATCATATCTGTAAGTTAAACTGAAGTTTTTCTGGTGTACACTCTAGTCTCAACTGAACAGATATGAGTGGCTTGAATTTAACAAAAGAATTAGAATTATTAGAATTATCAGAATTACTATTCTTAAGGTTAAGAAGGAGAGGAGTCTGTTGCTATCCAAGACAGTTTTAATCCCCATGAATTCAGTTCCTGGAAACAGATATAGACGACCAGGCTTGGGGAAGAGATTTCCAAGTAGTGCATACGGGAATTTTTTTACAGGCATTTTTAATAAGTGATCTGAGACTGGCTAAACAGCAACTTCTAAACATTCAAAACAATTCCCAAAAGCTGTAGGGAAAATAAGCTAAAATCCCTCCAATTTGACCGCATAAGCATTTGTTTCTTTGCAGGCAGGGTCCAGCCTTCGTTGGCACTGTCACATTCCCATGTATATGGCTGAAATTTGCTGTTTCACCTGCCTCCTTCATGTGGACAGATGAGAGAGGACAGCAATGGAAGGCCTTGTGAGGCTGAATTAAGGCAAGGACAGTGGAAAACTTTCCTGAGAAGTCCTGAAGACTGGAAAATCTCCTTACAACTGCCAGAGGATTCATATGTGATGGAGAAGTCTCCTATGGCTCTGTGGGCTATAATTTGTCCCTCCAATAACCTGATTCCTCTCAGTATTGTAGATGTAGCCCAGTTCAAGTGATCACTTAGGGACTACAGCATGTGACAGTTAGCCACTTCACAGACACAACATTAAAACCCCAGGATTTAGAGGCTGCATTTGTTCTTTTCTCTAAGTGGACGCTTTAAGAAACTCCTGCTGGATCAGCATCTCCAGACTATACTGAATACATACAGTGCTAACTGAAGAACACTGCAGTCTCATGCAAGGTTAAAAATACAGATGTGACAAATGTATGGAAGCTGTGGAGTATCATATCCAAGGAAGCTGTGGAGTATCATATCCAACAATTCTCTCATTTACAGATACCAACAGCTCCCAGAAGATGGGTGTGAGGTACTTGTGTTGACAAAGCTCCTCTTGCACCATCACCAACAGCATACCTAAACATTTCATAATTTTAGGGGCACAAACATCCTGAACATAGCAAACTACATCTGTTCCTGTAGACCAGCCTCTTTATTATCTTTATCTTCCTGATAACTTTTCTTTTTCCAAGATTACAGACTTAGATGATCTTATTGATTAAATTTAATTTATATATGGAATATAGAATGATTGTGCTGTGGTTAGTTTACGCAGCCTCTTTGAAGTATTAAACACCCAAGTCCAAATAAGTAATTGGGATTAACTGACTTACTACACTCTCCAGTGACTTTCTAGACCGATAGTACTACATGTACTGAGGCTATAGGAAAACACACACAAAAGTTTTCTTACAGTACCCCTGCAGAAAGCTTTCAACCACTCTTTGCATGGGATTCTCCTTATTATGTCTCTACGATTTTTACAAAAGAAAAAGGCACAGAGCTGAGCATCTGTTATGTCAAAATGGACACACAGAAGAATCGTTTGACAAGACAGGACATGAGATAACATAGTGCCGTGGTTTAATGCCATTAGAGAAGAAATACCCTTAGGGGACAAAGCTGGTGCCAAAAACACCTCCTTTATTTCTAACTCTATCAACTTGTTAAATGTTGGCTAAGTCATTCCCCCAGCCCCGAAAAACAAAGCAAAAGAACTCCTAGGCCCAAAATCTGTGTCCGTGACACCATAAGAATGGGTAAAACCACTATGTTCTGAAGTCTTAACTGACCACCTGTAAAGGGAGAGACTAGACAGAAAAGGAATCACTAACAAGAGATGTGGTAAATAGCAATAGTGGGCCTGCATTTTTTTACACCTGGGTCAGGGCAACCCTCAGTATCAGCACATGCTGGGGGATGAAAGGATTGAGAGCAGTCCTGCCGAGAAGGACTTGGGGGTACTGGTGGATGAAAAGCTGGACATGAGCCGACAATGTGCACTCGCAGCCTAGAGGGCCTATCATATCCTGGGCTGCATCAAAAGAAGCATGGCCAGAAGCATGGCCAGCAGGTCCAGGGAGGTGATTCTGCCCCTCTTCTGCGCTCTGGCGAGACCCCACCTGGAGTACTGCGTCCAGCTCTGGAGCCCTCAGCACAGGAAAGATATGGACCTGTTGGAGCAGGTCTAGCGGAAGGGCACAAAATTGATCAGAGGGATGGAACACCTCTCCTGTGAGCACAGGATGAAAGAGTTGGGGTAGTTCAGGCTGGAGAAGAGAAGGTTCTGGGGAGACCTTATTGCATCTTCCCAGTACTTAAAGGGGACTTATAAGAAAGATGAGGACAGACTTTTTAGCAGGGCCTGTTGTGATAGGACAAGGGGTAATGGTTTTAAACTGAAAGAGGGCAGATTTAGACTAGATAAGAGGAAGAAGTTCTTCACAATGAGGGTGGTGAAACACTGGCAAAGGTTGCCCAGAGAGGCGGTAAATGCTTCATCCCTGGAAACATTCCCGGTCAGGTTGGACAAGGCTCTGAGCAACCTGCTCTAGTTGAAGGTGTCCCTGCTCCAGGGAGGTGATTCTGCCCCTCTTCTGCGCTCTGGCGAGACCCCACCTGGAGTACTGCGTCCAGCTCTGGAGCCCTCAGCACAGGAAAGATATGGACCTGTTGGAGCAGGTCTAGCGGAAGGGCACAAAATTGATCAGAGGGATGGAACACCTCTCCTGTGAGCACAGGATGAAAGAGTTGGGGTAGTTCAGGCTGGAGAAGAGAAGGTTCTGGGGAGACCTTATTGCATCTTCCCAGTACTTAAAGGGGACTTATAAGAAAGATGAGGACAGACTTTTTAGCAGGGCCTGTTGTGATAGGACAAGGGGTAATGGTTTTAAACTGAAAGAGGGCAGATTTAGACTAGATAAGAGGAAGAAGTTCTTCACAATGAGGGTGGTGAAACACTGGCAAAGGTTGCCCAGAGAGGCGGTAAATGCTTCATCCCTGGAAACATTCCCGGTCAGGTTGGACAAGGCTCTGAGCAACCTGCTCTAGTTGAAGGTGTCCCTGCTCATTGCAGGGGGGCTGGACCAGATGAGCTTTAAAGGTCCCTTCCAACCCATATTATTCTATGATTCTATCAGATCCCACAGATCATTGCATTATATTATATTTGTAACTCTTGTGTCTTGTCTCTGGTATTAAGTCAATCTTTGAGAAAGAGATGCTGCAACAGTGTCATCTGTAACAGGCTGCTGAAGTAGAGTGAGAGGGAAAATACCTCAGGCCAGTGTAGTCAGGAAGCTTCTAGATCAGCATAGTCAGGATGCTTGAGGAAAAAAAAAAAAAATCACAGCAGAACTGGATGGTCAGACATGGGACAGACTAGAGCTTCAACATACACTTTACATTTTTCAGTATCTGAGCAGGCACTTAACATTATGAGTGTCCATTCTGGAATAAGCTGATTTTTTAATTTCAGGCTTTGTTTCTAAAGTGAGGAGTATGAGCCCAGCAGTACACTGGAATGTAAAAACATTTAGTCCCTACGGACTACAAAATGACAACAAAGTTTAGCTAATAAAGGGGTAGATTTTAAATCTTTTCATTTCTCCTGCAAATATGGGAAAGTGGGTGACTTAAGCTTAAAATATAGAAAAAGACTATGTATAAGCACAAGGTTCCACAGGCAACCAAGCTATTCAACCAAGCAGAAGCACACCCTTCAACAGGAAGGGGCAAACAGTGTCCAGCTTATATGTCAGTGCCACAGGCAGCAAGAAGCTGCTGGGCCTGTCATACACTTGGATTAAAGGCATGAGGGCATATAAACCACAGGCACAGCTATGACAGATCATTTTGTCAAAAGTGTCATCTTGCTCACAAGGCTGTGGAATCCATCTGGACAATCACTCAAAGAAGAATTTAAAGACTTACAT